AGATCAAGGTAGGGTGGGGCCAATTAAGGACCAAGGGGGAAATCATATTGTGGAAGCAGAGGGCATGGCTGATGTCCTTGTCTCTTTCCATATGCGCTCTGAATCTGATGATGTTATGATCACTACTGCCCAGATGCTCTCCCACTGAAACCTGCTCCACTTGCCCTACTTCATTCCTCAGAACTAGATCTAGTACTGCTTCCTTCCTTGTTGGGCTGGAAACGTACTGATCAAGAAAGTTGTTCTGTATGCACTTTGGGAATATTTCCCCCTCCTTGCCCTCTGCGCTGTTGTTTTGCCAGTCTATGTTGGGATAATTAAAGTCCCCCATTATCACGACTCTATTGGCCTGGCATCTGTCTGAGATCTGCTTGTAGATCTGCTCATCTATTTCCTTCCCACTATTTGGTGGTCTATAGTATACCCCTACCAGCGTAACAGCTCCTTTTTTGTTCCTTAACCTAACCAGATAGATTCCGTTTTGGGGCCCTCCAGCACCTCGACCCTTTCCAAGGCTATAACCATATCCTTGATTAACATTGTCACACCCCCTCCTTTTTTTTCTTCCCTATCCCTCCCGAACAATTAGTAGCCAGGAATATTCAGCTCCCATTCCTGTCCTTGCTTGAACCAAGTCTCTTACTGCTACTACATCATATCCCCCTATGACCACTTGCTCCTGCAGCTCACCAATCTTGTTTGCTAAACTCGGTGCATTTAGGCACATGCACTCCAAGACCGGACTTGACCTGTTCTGCACTTCCCCCATTTTATTCCTCCATTTTCTAGCTCTTTGTTTTTTGCATTCCTTTCCCCCCTCAAAACTAGTTTAAACCCTCCCCAACAGCATTAGTTAGCCTGTCTGCAAGCACATTCGCCCCAGCCCTGTTTAGGTGCAACCCATCCATATGCCACAGGTCCCACCTGCCCCAGAACTGGTCCCAATGATCCAGAAACCTGAAGTCCTCTTTTTTGGACCATTTCTCCAACCAAGCATTCATATGCTTGATCCTGCCATTATGGTACTTATTTGCCCGAGGCACAGGAAGTAATCCAGAGATCACCACCTTGGATGTTCGATTCTTTAGTATGTTCCCCAGCTTTTGATATTGACCCTGTAGAGTCTCAGTCCTTTTTTTTTACCAGTATCATGGATCCCAACCTGGACCACCACTTCTGGAGGTTCTCCTTGCCCCTGAAGAATTCTATCCAGTCTTTCTGCGATGTCCTCCATGGATATACCAATACTCTCAATGTTCAGTACGGAGTACTGGTTTGAGAATGCTACACTATTGGGGGCATTCTGCCCAGCCGTCCCCTCTTCCTACCATGCCGGACTGTCACCCAGTCATTTTCCCTCTGAACCCTCGGTGTGTGGGGTGGGATGACCCCTCTCTCAGGGGTCCCATTATCTGCAGGACTGATGAAACCATCCTATCCCTGAGTATTAACCAGATGCGAGCATCTCCCGAGTCTCAGGGGAGTGATGGTTTCCTCCATCATACTATCCAGGAACCTCTCACTGTCCCTGATGGGAGCGCAGTGTCTGCACCTCGGCTTCCAGCTCAGCTACTCTCAGCTGGAGCTTTCTGAGTTGCAGACACTTGCTGCAGATGAAGTCGCCAGGGCTCAGGGCACCCTCCATTAACTCCCACGTCACAGTCCTCGCATTTCACTTGACACATCATCTTCTCAGTGTTTTCTTTTTTTTTCTTTTTCTCTTTTCGTCGCTCTGACAGTTCAGACAGCTTACCTCAGCTGCTCCTTTTACGTTGATCGCTAGGCCCAGGCTCCGCCTCCGCTCCGTCCTGATTGCTCTCCCCGAGTGGTCAACTTTGCCAAGAAAACAGCAGCTAAATTTATCGAATGCCTTTTTTATTATTTATTCCTTGAGGAAATTATTTACTTAAAAATAGACTAATGCCCTGGAATTGTCAATTCGACAAGTAGTCCCTTGGAACATTACATTGAGAAGTGCAACTCCCTGTTCAAAACATCTGTTTAAGCGATCCGAGATCTAACCCCATGAAGGGCACAATATAAATGCAAGTTCTTGTTGTTTCAATCTGTAATGCATACACGTAACCCTTAAAACTCAATATTGCATTAATAATTAAGCTGAACATGTTGGATTCTTAGTATATTGTTGCACTTGAAATAATTTGCTGACTTTGTATTTTTCCCACAGCATGAGGTAGAGCTCCACCCATCCAATAAACTAATGGACCATTGGAATTACAACAAATAGAAGAATATCAATATCTTGAGATGGAAATCTTCTCCGTTAAATCACAGAAGTTTTGTTTTCCATCAAATGGGTCAATTTATGCAAATCACTAATGGAACATAGAAACCTAAGAATCAAATGAGTAATACAAACCTGTCTGGCTATAGAAGAACAGTAAGTTGCCTGGCTTGTTAATGCATATTGTAGTGTTTAGAGGTCTAGTAGTTACTCTATATATTCTGAGTATGCATACGTTCAGTCACTAAGTTTCACTGCAGTACATAGAAGATGGGGGTCACCTAGACCCTTAAACTTGTGTTGCTTTTGCGTCTTATTCACCATCTTCTGCTCACGGGATTCAAACAACTACAGTGCCGTTACCGGCATATACCTGTATTTTTCAGCACTGAAATATTGCATTAATATTAGGTTTAATGCCGGTAACCGGAAATTCCAGCTCGCCAGACCGCATCCCCCCAATTGTTCTGGCCAGCCGGTTTTAGTGTAATTATGCTTAAATAGGTTATAACCGAGCAGAAAATATGAGGGATCTGAATCAAGAAGTAAATATAGCAAAACTTACATTCATATCAGTCAGGACCATAACATTTAATATGAGTTACTCGAAGTCCAAGTTGCAGGCAAACTGTTTTAAGTTGTAGAAAATCTGATTTAATAATTTAATGCAGCTGTTAAGTGGGCAAGTGGTAGTTCATCACTGCAGCCGGTGAAGTGCACATGCGGTGATGGATCAAGACTACATTTCCTGCAATTCAATGTGTCTTGACCAATCGCCACCTGCACTTACTGGCAACTATTGGAATCACATTGAACGAAAATGGATTTCATCTGCACATGCAGCGATGGATCAAGACTGTTTCCCGTGATTCAATGCAGCCGGCCCGTAAGTGCGCAATGACAGGTCAGGCATCACTTTTCACGATTCAAGTAAATGCGGGAGTAATGAAGGGTAGGGGAGTGGTGTTATGAGTTAGGATGTGATTAATGTGAGCAGTGCAAAGAAATCTAAGTGCTTTTGATAGGAAATTGAATGGGACTTGGGTTGACTTAAACAGTTATATGATTTATAAAGATACGTTTTCCTGCTGTTATTAATCTGAAGTATTTCAGAATTCACAATTGGGACATTAATCAGTTCAGCTCCTTCATAGTTAAGCTCGTTACTCCTTTTCAAGACACTGGCTCCCATTGAGTCATTAGTAGTACTACAGTGAAACTTTGATAAACTTACCTGTGGGATAGGTAGTCAACCCCACATAACTCATCACTCACTCAATATCCCAGCTATTTCCCATATGAAATGTTAATTATGATCCTCTGATAACTAATCACCCTGGATATCTTGTAACTAGTCAGGTTTTCACACTCTTAAGATGGTGTTTATATGTTACATACCTCTCATAATTTATTTTATTCGGTCTTTGTTGAGTGATTCAGGAATTTTATAAAGCGAGAAAATGGCATGTGTCTCAGGTTCATTGTTTACTGTATTGTCTCATCTTCCTCCTTCCTCTAACTTAATCCACCCACATGGTGTGGCATGTGGACAAAATATTTCCTTCCCTGTGACCTTGTTTCGGTTATGCTTGAGTTTTGTACTTCTGACCAGTTACAGCATTCTGATCAGCTAGCCTTTTTGTGTCTGTGGATATTTTTGCAATGCATTGTGTTATCCAGTTTGTTTCCAGTTTATGTGTCGATGCAGTTAATGCATACCATTCAGTTTTTGCATTTGTGTATGAGCCATTGTAAACATCTTAAAAAGACTTATGTAAGCATTTTGAATAGAAAAACTGAAAAGAAATTTAGAAACTTCTTTCCTGCACCGATTCTCAAGTACTTTGCTCTTTCGAGATACTGTATTTTGGATAACTAGTCAGCTCTGATAAATAGTAATTTGAGCTATTTCCTCGGGTGATGAATTGTAGTGCGGTTCTGACTGTCCAGCACCTTAGGATGTCCTCCTGATGTGAAAGGCGCTATACAAATGTAATTTGTTGTTGTTGTATTGAAAATGCATTGACGTAGATATGCTCAAGTGAGTGCCTTGGAAACTTATGTCAATACTACAATGGATAACATACTTATTCCATTTATGAATCGATTGATACTAGTTATATTACAAAATATTCAAAATTTTAATTTTTTTTGGAGCTGATCTTCAGTCGAATTGCTATAAGAACATAAGAATTGCTAGACGAAAGAAGACCAAGGTCCATTCAGTTCGCTTTCCACCATCCTGGCAGTTGCGTGCACACTTCATGTCCCAAACTATATACCGTATCCCGAGATATTATTTCCCAACAGAAATCTATCTAATTTGTTCTTGAAAGAATTGACACTTTTGTTGTATCATGGAGCCAACCAGGTATAAAAACTCTGGTAAGGACCATGATACAACAACTTGCATTTATATAGTACTGTTCATGCAGGGTAGATGGGTATTTTTAATTCAACCCTTGAATTAAAAATAGAACAGTATAGCCAAAATGTTCTGAAGTACATATTTTATTGAAATTATGGGCTGATTTTTGAAAAGTTGGGTTGAAGATAATTTACAAGTTGTGCAAAGAAATGGGCAGAGAGAATTTCAGGTGCCCCTATTTATGTAATTATCACTAAAGGAAAGTATTACAGGAGATTCTGGATTCCTTTTCATTGGTTATAATGGTCAATGACAATTGTAATTCACTCTGCACACAAGTTTCCACAACTTGGGTGATACATATGTGTTTGTAAAACTCACAATTTAAACCCAAAGTCCTTTAATTAAAAAGACAGCTGTTACAAAGGTGAATAGTTGATCTAGTAAGATAAACTGATCTGTGCACTTTTTCTTCCATTATCCTTAGTAAAAACCCGAATCCTGAGCGGCCCACGGAGCCTGCAAAAACAAAACAAATGAGAATTAGTAAAGTCCATTAGAAAAAAAAGGTAGATGTTTTTAACTGAAAGCATCCAGTGAGTAAAATCATGCCTATAACACATTTAACCTCCCTTGCAATTGATGAGCACGAAAATCTGTGTCTCGATCATGAATGAAATCGGGAGGACAGTCTTGAACCCTGCCACCCCCACAAACTTCAGACCATCTCAAACCTGCCCTTCCTGGCCAAAGTTTTGGAATGCGTGGTTGCAATTCAACTTTGCTCACACTTCTCCCTCCACTCCCAACTTGAACCCCTCCAGTTCAGTGTCCGCCTTGCTCACAGCACAGAGATAGTGCTCGTCAAAGTAACAAATGACGTCCTCTTTCTGTGTGATCAGGGCTCCCTCTGTCTCCTTGTTCTCCTGGACCTTTCCACCGCATTCGACAAGGTCGATCATGCCATCCTCTCCCATTGCCTCTCCACCCTCATCCACCTTAGTAAGACCACAATCGCATGATTCGAGTCCTACTGAACAAATGGTCAACAATATATCTCACCAAATTGTTTCTCCTCCCGCCCCCGCCCGTTCACTTGCAGTGTACCCCAAGACTCCATCCTTGGCCCCTTTTTTTCCTTAGCTCCTCCGTGGCCACTCCCTTGATCTGGTGATCACCCGGGGCCTCACCGTCTCGGACATCACCATCGTCGATAAAGCCATCTCGGACCACCACTTCATCTCCTTTCCCCTTTCCCAACCCTCCACTGTCACATACTGTCCATGGAAAAAAATTTCCTCCCTCTCCCTCTCCACTCCCCTGGAGTCATCTGGACTCCTACACCTCTGGCCCTCACTGACCGATCTCCCCTCCTCACTCTCCTTTCTCCACAACTCCCTCTCCTCCATTCTGGACTCACTTGCCCCCCTCACCTCCCATACTGTCTCCTACTCCCGTAAATCCCCCTGGTACACCAGCCATCTCCGTTCCCTCAAGGCACAAGTGCGAGTTGTTGAACGCGCCTGGACCAAATCCAAACTAACGGTCCATCGGCAGATTTGGCTTCACCCACCAAGATCTACCACTGGGCTCTTGCCTCCGCCAAATCCTCCTTCTACTCCAAGGTTATCTTGGAGGCAAAGGACAACCCCAGGCTTCTCTTTTCCACCACAAACCGTCTTTTCCATCCATCTTCCCATACCTCGCCCATCCTCTCCTCTAACTCCAAGTGTGAGAAGGTGCTGGACTTCCTCGAATCTAAAATCGAAGTGATACGTTCAGCCACCTCTCCCTCATGACACCCATCATGGTGGCTATACTCCTTCGAGCCTATCTCTCCCTCCTCCCTCACCATGCCTGTCCGCAAACTCAAACCTATCACCTGCTCCCTCGATCCCATCCCACCTCTCTCCTCATCTCCCAGCTCCACCTTCTGGCCCCTCTCCTGTCCGATGTCATCAACCTCTCCTTGTCCACCGGTTCAGTTCCCACCCCCCCTAAAAACAGCCGTCATCACCACCATCTTGAAAAAACCTTCCCTGGATCCATCCCTCCTCTCCAGCTACCACCCCATCGCTAACCTACCATTCCTCTCTAAGGTCCTGGAACGAGTCGTCGCGTCCCAGCTCCGCTCCTTTCTCTCTCGCCATTCCCTCTTTGAACCCCTCCAATCCGGCTTCCGCATTGCCCACAGCACAGAAACAGCCCTGGTCAAAGTCACTAATGACATTCTGACACTGTCGACCCCTCCATCCTCATACACCGCCTCTCCGCTTTACTCAATCTTCGCGGACCTGCCCTTGCCTGGTTCGATTCCTATCTCTCTCACTGTCTCCACTTTGTTGCCTCTAACGGTTTCTCCTCCAGCCCCCGCCCGCACTGTCACGTCTGGCGTCCCCCAGTGCCCTCGCCTCTTTAATATCTGTATGCTCTCCCTTTGGTGACATCATCCGCAGACATGGGGTCGACTTCCACATGTATGCGGATGACACCCAACTCTATCTTTCTGCCTCCACCCTCAACTCCAGAACCACTGCTGTCCTGACAGACTGCCCGTTGGACATCAAGTCCTGGATGAGGGCAAATTTCCTACAGTTGAATGTGAACAAGACTGAGGCCCTCCTGATTGGCTCGCGCCAGCGCCTCTGCACCTCAGGCTCTGGCAGCATCAACCTCCATGGTTGCACTACAATTCATCAAGCCAGTCAGGAACCTGGTGTCTTGTTCGACCCTCAACTGTCTTTTCTCCCCCACATTCAAGCCATGATCTGCTCTGCCTTCCCTCACCTCGTAACATCGCCCAACTCTGCCACTACCTCACCCCTCAGGCCACTGAAACTCTTGTTCACGCCTTCAACACCTCCAGGCTCGACTATGCAAACGCCCTGCTTGTCAGCCTTCCCAACTCCTCCCTCCACAGGCTGCAGATAATCCAGAATTCTGCAGCCCGTGTCCTCTCCCGCAGCAAACTCCGTGACTTCATCTGCCCCACTCTCGCCCGACTCCATTGGGTCCCTATCCTTCAGAGGATCCAGTTCAAGATCCTGGTCCTCACATACAAAGCCCTCCATGGCCTCGCCCCACCCTACCTCTGCGATCTCCTAAACCCCTACCAACCTGCCCATTCCCTCCGCTCAGCCGGCTCCGGCCTGCTCCATGTCCCCCGATCCACCCGCCCCATCATTGGCGGGAGAGTCTTCAGCCAATCTGCCTCCAACTCTGGAATTCCATCCCCAGGTCACTCCGCCTCGCCCCCTCCTTAGCCTCCTTCAAGTCCCGCCTCAAGACCCTCCTCTTTGACCATGCCATCGGCCACCCCCCTTCACCTCCCCTCCCTTCTCGCCCCCTGACCCCAGCTCGGGTCTGAAATGCTATACTCTGTCCAGCGCCTTGGGAAAGGCACTATACAAATGTAATCTTGCTATTGTTGTTGTTGTTCTCGGCGATGTCATCCAAAGCCATGGGGTCAATTTCCACATGTATGCAGATGACACCCAAACCTATTTCTCCTCCAGCTGCGACTCCCAGTCCGCTGATATCCTGTCAGCTTGTTTGACGGAAATCAAGGCCTGGATGAGCGCAAATTCCCTGCAGCTTAATGTCGGCAAGAAGGAAGCCGTACTTTTTGGTCCTGTCAACATCTTCTCTCCTGCGGGGTCTGAACTCCTCAACCTCTCCCGGGCTCTCCCTCACTCACCGAACCCGTGCGTAACTTAGGCATCAGCTTTCCTTCCTACCCCGCATCAGTTCTCTGACCAGGACGCTTTTTCCCACCTCCCGTCACATTGCTCGCCTCCGTCCATATCTCACAACCAATGCGGTCGAAACCCTCGTCCACGCCTTTGTCACTTCCCGGCTCGGTTGGATGCCTTCCTCTCTAGTTTCGCCAGCTTCACCACGCACAAAATTCAACTAATTCAAAACTCCGTCGCCGGGATACTCACCCGCACAGAACTCCGTACCCCCATGACACCAGCCCTGGCCAGGCTCCTCTAGCACCCAATTATCGAACTGGTTGATTTCAAGATCCTCTCACTCATTTTTAAATCCCTTCATGCCTTCGCATCTCCCTAACTAACTGATTTGCTTAGCCGCTACTCCACTACCTACTGCCTCCGCTTGGCTAGCTCCAGCCTCCTGTTCATCCCTCGCCCCTTCCGCTCCCAATCAGTGTCCGTGCCTTCAGCCACTATTTCCCAAATTTCTGGAACTCTCTCCCTCAATCCCTCGGACTTTCCCCACCTCACCCACTTTCAAGTCCCGCCTAAAGACTTTCCTTTTTGATCGTGCTTACGGTCACCTTGCCCTCCCTCTCCCCCTGGCTCTGGGTCAGACTCCGCCACTGTCAAGTGCTCCGGGATGCTACCCCGTGTGAAGGCGCTATATAAACGCGTTGTTGTTATTGACACCCATCTTAAAAGTCAAAGACAAAGCTGCCGATAGTATTAATCCTTGAATTTGATATAGCACCTTATCATGTCTTTGAGACTTCTTGAAGAGATTCACAGAACACACTGTAAAGTGAATTGACTGTATATTTTGTGTGTGAAACACGGCAGCCAACTGCGCACAGCAGTGTCTCACAAACAGTCGTGGATTGAGTGACCAAATTTTTTTTACAGGATTATTATCCTCGGAAAAGCTATCTGCCAATCAACGAACAACTGGATTCCTGTTTACTGCAAAATAAACAGAGGCATATTGTGCAAGGAAACTTGCCCAATATTTTGCCTCACCTGGGAATTGAATCCAGGTTCTCTCGCTTGTGAGACAAGTGCTCTAACCACTGACTACAGGACTACATAAAGTAAATGAAGTAATTAGAGCATGAAGCATGGTTAGTTTCAATAACAATTAGGAGAATGGCATCATTATGTTCATAAGTTTTGCTCAAAAAGGGAATTAAAACTGTAAATTTCATGGATTTCACAGAACAGAATCCCCATCAGGCTTTCCTGTGCTATAGCTAAATAGAGCTAGTCATTTTTATTATCACCAGGGGAAATCATTGGTGTTTTTCTTAAAGTAATCAGAGTAATGGCCAAACTGTGTAGGTACAAATGCATTATAAACACACAGACATATAAACACACAGATTTTTTTTAGAAACACTGTTTTGTTTGTGAGTCAACTTTAGCTGAAAAAGGTTTGTTACACACCAGTAAAGCAAAAGGTAATGAAGTAATGTCTCCCAGAATATGAATCAAAGATGGCAGAATGGAATCTCTTCTACTCCTTGTAGTAAGCTACAGAAAACATAAGCTTACAAGCTGTATTCCCCCACACAACTAGTGCACATGAGAGCAGGGATGGGTCCAGGGAGGGATTTTTAGGGATAGAGGTGATGACGGATATTGTTAAAGGAATGCTAGTGTACAGGGAGAGGTTTATGATGTCAGTGAGTAGAGTGCAAGAAGCTGCCAGTGAGTGGTAAAGTTATAATCCCAGTCTCATTTGGGACTAGCCTCCAGACCCCAGGTCAGAGGGAAGCAAATTGCATGGAGTTCCTGCATCTGATC